CAGCACCACTTCTGGCTTTTTTTTTCTGCTTATGTGGTGCTGAGGAATCGAACCCAGGGCCTCATGCATGCAAGGCAAGCGCTCTACCACTGAGCCACTTTCCCAGCCCCTCTTTTCTTTTTTTCTATATATGCCTGGAACTCTAGATCTTCCAGCCTCAGCCTCTTGGGTGCTGGGATTACAGGTAAGTGCCTCAGGCACTAGGATTCCTCTCGTCAAGATTTTTTTGTTTTTTTTTCCTCCCTCCTCTGCTGTGATTAACTATTTGCCCAGCTTTCCTAGAAGCTCAGAACAGCTGTAGGGTGTCAGACTGTAGCCTAAAGGGAGCCTTTGCCAGGAGGCAGAGATAGAGATGTCTGGTAGACAATGCACCTGCAGTAGCAATGAAGTTCTTCCAGGAAGTGAGCCTTGCAAATGGGGTGACTGACTTACCCAGCCCAAGAAAATGACCAAGTCTTCTTCCTGGGACAGGATAGGTTTGAAGACATGTGGGAGGGAGGCTTTAGGAGGTAGATATGGTGATATTTGAGATCAAGATCTTGGTCAGGGGGATGCTGAGGGAAAGTGATCACGGAAGTGGCCATGTGGCTCATGTGGTAGAGCACTTGCCTTGAGGGACAGGGCCCAGGCCCAGAGTTCAAGCCCCATGACCAAAAAAAGAAAAGGAAAGTGATCTTCCCTTTCTCCCCTGCCTCAGGAATTCAGGGCCTCACATAGGCTTAAATTGCTACCCTGGAGTCTTTAAGAGTTCAGTTTGAATCTAACCAAAATCCTGTGATTGTGGGACATCCAGCAGAGAAACAGCAGGATCTGTGCTAGTGGTGAGAGGTAGGTCAGCTTGTAAAAATGGTTTCTGTCCTTTCTCAGAATCTCCCCTACCCTCAAACATAGATACAAATGAAAAACATTTCTTGTGTCACTGGTTTTTGTTTTCTGTTTTTGCCCCCAACACTGAGAAATGATTGCTGTCACCCAGTACTTTTTTTTTTTTTTGCCGGTTGTGGGGCTTGAACTCTGGGTCTGGGAGTGTTAGGTTTTTAAAAAGAGGTAGCCGAGTAAGAACTGCACCACGCACGTGGTATTCAGGTAAGGGGTAGGTTTATTCAGTAGACCTGCTGGGACCAGGCAAGGTTGACACTCCACGCGGCTGGCAAAAGAGCAAGAGCAGAGAGAGAGAGAGAGCAGAGAGAGAGAGAGAGCAGAGAGAGAGAGAGAGAGAGAGCAGAGAGAGCTAGAAAAGAGCAGAGAGAGAGAGCAGAGAGGAACAGAGAGCAGCCAGCGAGTCTGGGCCTGGGCTAGCCCTTATCTAGGGTATGGGTGGAGAAAGGTGTGGCCACATCAAATTCAGACGTGACCTCAGCAGATGCAGATGTGACTTCTTCCAGGCGTCCCAGTTGCCTAGGTAACGCAGGTACTGGGTGGAGACTTTGCTGTGAGGAAGGTGGAGTCTGCTAGCCATCCAGGTGCGGACCTTACAGGGAGCTGTTCCTCAGCTCTTCAGCTCAAGGTTAGCGCTCTACCACTTGAGCCACAGTGCCACTTCTGGCTTTTTCTGCTTATGTGGTGCTGAGGAATCGAACTCACGGCCTCATGCATGCAAGGTAAGCATTCTACCACTGAGCCACCTTCCCAGCCCCACCCAGTTTTTTAAGATAATGAACAAATTGAGTGTAGTGATGTACACCTGTAATCCCAGCATTCAAGAGTCTGAGGCAAGCCAGGCACTGATGGTTCCTGCCTGCAATCTCAAGAGGTTGAGATCTGAGGATCACAGTTCAAAGTCAGCCCAGGCAGGAGAGTCTGTGAAAGTCTTTTTTTTTTTTTTTTTTTGGTGAGACTCTTATCTCCAATGAATCACAGAAAAAAGTGGAAGTGGAGCTGTGGCTCAAGTGGTAGAGTGCTAGCCTTGAGCTGAAGAGCTGAGGGACGGTGCCCAGGCCCAGAGTTCAGGAAAAAAAAAAAAAAAAGTAAGCAAAGTAAAAAAATATAAAAAAAAATGAGGGAAGAGCAAGAGGGCAATGGACTGGGGCTGGAGTATAAATTCGCGGAGGGGCCCTTTCTTCCAAGGGGGCTCGCCGGAGCCGGAGCCGGAGCCCAGGCCGGACTGGGGGGGTGCAGCTCCGCCTCCCGCGCTCCGAGGCGTCGTAGCCCCCCCTGGCTCAGTGGCCGAGCAGCGGGCTCTCAGACTGGCACTTGTAGCTGCCGCGGCCATTTTGGTTGAGGGCACGGAAACAAAGCGACTCACGAGCCCCGGAGTGGCAGCGCGCCGCGCACGACTAACGTCAGGGCAAAGTTCGGGGGATGCCGGGTCGCCGCCAGCTTTAGGAAGGCCTCTTCCGGTTCTGAGGTTCTGGCTTTCCGTCACTCCCGTGGGCCCTCCAGAGGCTGCTTCCAGCCTCTTCTCAGGCCTCGTGCCAGGCCGTCGGGCCGGGCTGGGAGGGCTTCCTGAGCGCCGGGCGCCGCCCTGGAACCGCACACCCGGGCCGGGGAGGGGGCGGCGGCCGGCCGGGTCCCATGGCGCCGCCTCTGGCCCCGATCCCCACCCGAGAGCCGAGCGGAGCAGCTCCCGCGTGCCGGAAGCCCGGGGCCGTGAGCTTCGCGGATGTGGCCGTGTACTTCTCCCCCGAGGAGTGGGGGTGTCTGCGCCCCGCACAGAGGGCCCTGTACCGGGACGTGATGCGGGAGACCTACGGCC